TACATAATTATGCAAACACTTAATTTTCAACCAGTGCTCTTATCTCTTATGCCCATTTCTCATTTTCTATGCTTTCTCCTCCCTGGGTTCCAGTCTTAATATTTACTACTAATTAACTTCAGTTCATTCATCTACTTCTTGCTGTGTCTTACATGCTCCATCATCTACCTATTGAGTTATTTCAGTGCTGAATTCTTATCTTTAGAATTTCCATTTTATTCTTTTCTTTTGTTTGTGTCTTTCAGTTCTCTGATGATATTCTGCACCTTTTCATCTATTTTCTTAAACAAGTCCATGTCTAATAACTTCGAGATTTGGATCACATATGGGTTTGTTTCTAATATAGATATATAGATATATAGATTCAATTTATTTTATTTTATTTCAACAATTTATTTATTTTAACATTTGATCCTATCTCCTTGCATACCTGGGAGAAATTCAATGAAACACATTGAATATACGAAATTGTAACAACTACAGGTAGTCTTTATCTTCCACCAGGAAATACTTGTTTCTCTTCAAGTAAGCAGCTGAATTCTTAATACAGTCAGGAATTGAACTGATTACCAATTTGATTTTAGTGTTGGAAGATCTGGCCTATTTGATTTGCTGTTATTGCTAGTACTGACCCATCAGTGCTCTCAGCTGAAATCCAGGGTTGGTTCTGGCTGTGGGTTCCAATATTTGTCTTCCCAATATTATGAAACCCCAAACAGTTCTGTTCATTTTCTTAGCCCCTTAGCCTGTTTTCTCAGCCCTTCTTTCCTTTATTTAACTTAGTTACCAAATATTTCAACAGCAATGTCATTTATGATGCTGGGTTCCTTTCCCTGTGGCTGCCTTGCCTATGGGCCCTGGGCCCTTCCAGTATGGCAACCTTTGTACCCTGGAGCTAGTTTTGGCCCCCATGAAGGGGCTGCTAAACTCTCTAGTTCATTGCTTGCTGTTTCTGCAATGAGCCTTCCTGCTTACAAATTAGCAAGTGCCTCAGAGAAGGTGCCGGGCCCATCCCAAAGCATTTCTCTTCTCTCCTGCATGTTGGCTTTTCACTCCTGCCTATCAGGATTTCTCTCTGGTATCTATAAAAAGATATTTTTGTACTTTATTCTGCTCTATTCAATGCTCTTGATGAAAGTTTTGGTCTGATATAAGCTACATCGTCTCATTCACAGTGGAAGTCTGAACTGGGATTATTCAGCTTGACAGGAGGTAGATGTGACTTGAGGATGGAGTAAGCATGTCCCTGGGGTGGAGGTGGGATAGTGGTCAGGAGAGAACAAACACATTGCATGGCTTCACAGGAAGATATGGCATGAAGGACCCAGGTGACAAGGAGGCCAATGTCAGCTCTGCACTGGAAGAGCAGCATCTTGGACACAACACATTGCTTAGGTGGGAAGCTCAGCCTGAAGCAACAGTGAGCTTCCTTGCCATGAGCAGGACAAGAAATAACTGAGGGCAATCATATTGCAGAAAGGACATAGTCAGGGATCACCAATTTATGTCTGCTTGCCATAAGAGATTCTTTAAAAACGTAGATGCCTAAGTGAACTGACCTATTGACATATTGAAACAAAATGTACCTGAAACCTATACTTTGAACAGGTTAGCCAAATGATCTCCTCACTAGATTAAAGGACCCAGAAAGCTGGCTATGCCTGCTTCCCAGTGAGGCACTCAGATCAGATGTCTCACAAGAGTTGTAGAGAGGAATTCTACCAATTCTGCCTCTGGGGTAGGGATGAGTGAAAACTACTGAAGAGGAGCATCTCCTTGTAATCCTTCTGGCCCATGAGGCTCCCCAGCCCCTGGAAGCAGAGCTCAACATGATTGCATTAGAATGACAGACCCATCACATTTAGTCACATTGTGGGCTTAGCAACTTGCGTGGGTAAGACTGGGAATCCAACCACTATTTATAAACAGTTTCTATGGGAAACTATGTTCCAAGTTCCAACAACTGCCTTTCAAAAATATGCTGGAGCCAACCTGTCAGTAAGAAAGAATATATATATATATATATATATATATATATATATTCCAAAACTTTAGCAACACATGATAAACTTGACCTCAAAGCAGGAGTAATTAATCAACATTCGCTGTCAACTTTACAATGGAGGAAATTCTTCTGCCTTGAATAATTGGAAGACTGCTTTACGAACAACTACTACTTTTTCTGCAACAATTGTAAGAGTGTTTCTTCCTGCTGTCATTGTTTGGCCCAAGGGAGATGGGTGCTAGCATTACCTGGGAACAGTGATGAATGGCCTGGGATGTAAAGACAGGATGAGGTCACCCTTCAGCTTCGCTACACCTGTGTCCCATTGCAAAAACCCTGATCTCTGAGATGCGGTAAACAGCCATATTTTGAGTATTCTTGGCCCTATTTCTATGCCTTTTTCCTGGGAAGAACAGTTTTGTAAGGTAGAAAAGATATGAATTCACAGGTGCATACGTGAAAATCATTTATAGGCGCTTGTGTAGGCCCCGAGCCCAAATTAAACAATGTGATCTTGATTCTCTTCTTGTCCCTCCACACATACAAACTGTATAAAGGAAGTATAAAATTGCACCCAGTTACCTCCCGATGATGAGACCATAGTTAGCATGCTCACCCCCTAGTTTGGATGCTCTAGTTTAAGTGAACCCTAGATACCTTGAGGGATGCCGCAGGACCATGTTCTGGTTAAGAGTCTGGCTAGAAGGGCATCTGAATCTAATCATTAGGTGGAACAAATGAAAATCAAGCTATGGATTAGCTAACTGTCCCCCAAAGTCCCATGTATTACAGGCTTGGTCCCCAGAGAGGTACTATTAAGGGCCTAGAGGGAGGCCCTTAGGTCACTGGGGGTAAGCCCTCAAGGGGAAGGTGGAATCCTAGCTCCTTGGTTTTTCTCTTTGCTCCTTGGCCTGGGATGAGTGGTTTCACTCCACCAAGCATTCCTGCTGTGATGTGCTGTCTTATCATGACCAGCACCGTGGGATCAGTCTAGACGTTGCACTGGAACCTCCCAAACTGTAAGCTAAAAGAGACTTTTTCTCTTTATAAGTTGATTGTCTCATGTGTTTTGCTATAGCAATGAAAAGTTGACTTCCAGGAGCACCACCTGTCCTCAGATGCCTTTGTGTACCTCAGAGAAGGGTCACAGAAGCAAAAGCCAAGAGCACAGGGGAAGTCAAAGGGGATCATTCTTTTCATGCTTGAAGCGATTAGAGAAGCACACATCTAAGTAATTTTTAAATGCTTTTAAATTGCCCAGTAGCTAAATTATCAACCAGAAGTAGATCAAAATCACATCTAAATATCAAAGAAAATATAGTCAAGCAATAAAAGATAGAGTTTTCTAGCAGAGAAAACACCAAGTGCAGAAGCGAGGGATGATGAACAAATGTGAAAATGTGGAAGGCTTCTGCGGGTTTGGGAAGAGAAGATACCTTTAAGTGGGATGACCAAGTACCTCAGAAGCCAGCCAGGATGGAGGAACAGACATGAGGGGTCAAGAGGTGGGCCCATCTCCTTGAAAAACCCTGACGTTGAAGTCTGTCCCTGCTGTCGGTGTTGAGTGATGAGCAGAGGATGATGGCCGCAGGCGCTGCATTTCTATAGGAAACTAAGAGAGAAACCCAAGCCTCCCCCCAGGACCTGAGGCAGGAAAGGAGGCAGCCACTGGCTGGGGCATAGCGCATGCTTGGTCAGGCTGGCACACTGCCTGCAGGGCTGTAGCTGGGGCACTTGGCACTGGCTCCCAGGCACCTGGATGGTAACTCTCCAAGACACTGCCTGTAGGCATGGGGGCTGGGACTAATGAAAGACCCTGCCTCAGATGGCCTAGCTCTACTGCCTGCCTGTACTACTGGGCCTGGCCACAAACATCTTGTGCTGGTTTGCAAATCCTAGGTTAGGGCCAGCCAGATAGCTCAGCAGACTAAAGCACCTGCTTAGGCAGAGTGCAGCAGGGTTCAATCCCTGGTGTGCCATGTGGGCCCTGTCCCTGGGGCACACTGAGACAGCAAATGAGACAGCATGGTGGTGTGTGCCTATAATCCCAGCACTTGGGAAGCTGAAAACAGGAGAATCACTATGAGTCTGATCTACATAGTGAGACCCTATAGACCCTGTAGACCCTGTACTAGCTATTAAAAACAAAACAAACAAAAAAAGCCTAGATTAATCTCAAAGTGAAGCACAAAAGCAGTAGTAGACATGAGATGGGAAGCGCCACTGACTTCCCCCCCCAACCCCCACCTGCATGTCTGTATGTGTCTCTGTGTCCATATTGTCTCTGGGGTGGCTGGAGGCACCTGAGGCTGAAAGGGAAGAAGTTGTGGACTGAGTCTGACCAGACTGTAGGGTAGAGAAGATGGGAGGAGAGGAGACAGGAAGTAGGTAGAAAGGGGGGTGGAGAGGAAGAGAGGAGAAGGAAAAAGGAAGAGAAGCAAAGAGGAAGAGAGGGAGGGGAGGGAAAGGAGAGAAGCAGGGGGATGATAGGCCACAGAGCAAGCCACTACTCACTGGGTCTGGCCTGAGGCCCTGAGGACCACCACAGTTCTGAATTCAATCCACTCCTTCCAGATCATTTGGAAAATATATTCATTGTAGTGTAGGGTAGAAAATGTGGTTTAAACATTTTGTTGACTTGTCCGTAATTCAAATATCTAGACTTATCATGGGTGGTCCTCATGGGTGCTATAGTCCCAGGCCCTGCAGGTATCAAGGGAGGCCTAGCTAGGTGTTCTGTCCCCTCTTCTTGGTCTTGCCAGTAAAATGGGGTTCCACCTCAGCCCTGTTGCTGAGAGCTATTTGGCCCTCTGATGGGTTTCCTAGTCTGTAAATCAGGGATAAAAATGTCACCCACCATAGGAAGTGGCTGTGGCATTAAGTGAGGTGGTACACAGAGCCCAGCACTATGTGGGGACACAGTGGGCAGTGAGGAGTGTCAGTGTGACAGGTGTCCCTGCTGGAACTTAGTGCCCTTGCCCCTTTGCTTTTCCAGACCCCACAGCAGTACGAGAGAGAGTACAACAGCAAGCGGTCGGGCGTGGGGCCCAGCAAGTTCCACGGTTATGCCTACGATGGCATCTGGGTCATCGCCAAGACACTCCAGAGGGCCATGGAAACGCTGCACGCCAGCAGCCGGCACCAGCGCATCCAGGACTTCAACTACACCGACCACACCCTGGGCAGGATCATCCTCAGTGCCATGAATGAGACCAACTTCTTTGGGGTCACGGTCAGTGCCTCGCGCCTGTGCTCTCTTTTCCTTGGGGCTGTTCACAGAAGCAGGAGGCAAGGAGAAAGGCTGTAACCTTGCTGTGCACGTGGTCTGTTCTCTGGAGTCACTGAAACAGCTTCCAGTAGGCCACTAGGTACAGGGCTGTTGAAAGGAAGAGTAGGCAGAATATGCTCTCCTACCTTGGGAAGAAGAAGTGGCCGATAGCAGATGTGTCTGCTGCAGGTGCATTTTCACTAAGTGATGGGTGGAGAGGGCCAGGGAGAGCTCTGGATAGTCAGGTTCAAATCCGAGGTCTTCACTTACGAGTCACTTTCTTTTTTGTTTTTGCTTTACAAGTCCCTTTCTTTGAAACACAGAATTTCCCTTCCCATAACAGGAATAGTGCCTACCTTACAAAGTGGTTATAAAGATGAGCCATTTCACGGCACAACTTGCTGCTGGTTGCTCTGCAGCCTACTTGTTCTGAGCCTCAAGTTTCTCATCTGGGAAACAGAGATAATAATATGTCTTGTGCAGAGAAGTTGGGGAAATTAGCAATGATAATGGCTATTTCTTGAATGTTTATCATGTGGTTAACATAGCAGTACTATGCCTAAGTACATCATGTAGACTACACTCAATAACGTATGCCCAGTGCTGTGCCCCCAGGAAACGCCAGCTACTGCTGTTAATAATGGTCGCATTGCTTTCTTATGCCACTCATAGGTAGTAGATGCTGTCAGAATCTCCATTAACAACTGGGAACACGAAGCTCTGAGAATTTAAATTCTGCAGCTAATCAGAGCAGAACTAAGATTCCAACCTAGGTCTAGGTCTTAATTGCTATATTACAGTATGTTCTGGTAAAGGATGTAAGTGGTAGTTATTTATGACTCATGGTGTATTTGCCACCAATTCTGACTCTTCTTCTGGAAAGGATATGAAATTTTTGAAGACTATATTGAATGAGCTAAAGTGCTATCTTGTGCTTTAACTTGGTCATTGGAGAGTGAGTCTGTCCCTGGGAGGAGCTAGGAGGAGCTGATGGGCATATTTCCTAAAGTGCCTATCCAGAGGGGGTGTGCTTAGGCCTGCTGTGGCTGTGCTAGGCAGGGCCTGTGTAGGTGCTGAGGTTGGGCATGAGGCTGTGGACTCCAAAGCAAGATGGAGCCTGTGGCCCACTACAAGGGTGAGTCTCAGGCAACACTGATATCAGGAGGCTAGAAGTGTTCAGTACAATGTAAGAATCACCATGAGATTGGAAGACTTCTGTTATTTTGGTGGAAAAGTCAGGGCAAGTATTTTGGAAGAGGTGGCATCTGAGCTGTGCCACGAACAGTGGGTAGGAGCCGAACGGACAGGGAAGGGCTGGGAGCCTGGCCAGACCAGAGCATGATGGGGGGTGCACGGGGTGGGAGGGGCACTGTGACCTGACTACAGCCCTGGGAAGGTAGATGCTAGAGCTGGCAAGGAAGGTGGAAGCCTGACGCCCCAGCGCCAAGCGGAAGAGCCTAGCTTTGATCTTACACGGTGACCATTCCTAGGGTGTGACCAGCTTTACCTGGGTGCTTGTTAGGGCCCCAGACCTATTGAATTATCCTTTGGGGGTGAGACCCAAGCATCTGGTCCTTAATATACCCTCCAAGTAACCCCTGCTCTGACTGGCAGGGATGCTATGAGGTTTGGAAAAAATATTTTGTTGATTGCTGTTGTATTTTCAAAGTTACTTGCTTATCATTCTAGTCTTTAACATGTGATTTTAAGAATGTTCTAAACAGTGGCAAAATATAACTTAATAACTTAATATTCTTGATCAAATAGTGTCGAGACACTAGCAAATGCATGGAGAAATATGTAAAGATTCTAAATTGATGAAGAAAAAATAAATGAAGCAGATTTCCACAGGCCCTGGGTAGAAGAATCTGAAAGTCCTGGGTGTCCACTCCCACAGTTCAGAAATAAAGAATCTATGTCGTTACTGGCCATGGTGTTTTTATAGCACAGCCTGGATTCAAGCTGGAAGCTTTAACAGCTTTCCTCATCCTTGCTTTAAAATTGTTTCTTATCCTCACAACCCTTTGTCATACAAATCTCTCGTGGAGCCGGGTAGATGAAACATGAAGCTCCTCAGTGAGCAGAGGAGCCCAGAGGCCTGTCTGTTCACACCCTTCCCCCAAAGCTCCTTTCCAGCTAACCCCAAAAAGGCTGCACGCAACACCAGTGAAAATACCTGCAAGAGCTGGGCATGCTTGCATGTGCCTATAATCTCAGCTAGTACTGAGGCTGAGGCAGGTGGGCCACCAGTCCAAGGCCAGGCTGGACAACTTAGCAAGACTGTATCTCAAAGTAAAAAACACAAAAGGATATGGAGTAGTAGAGCTTCTGTAGCCTGCAGGAGGCAGTGTGTTCAGCCCCCAGCACCACGTTTCCAAGGTCCGTTCCCAGTGGCCATGCTGTCCATATACACAGATGAGTACTCAAAGAGGGTACACATCGAAACAGTGCAGTTTGTAAACCTGGGTACATTTATTTCATGTCTACTTTTTATTTCATAGAATGAATTCATAGTAACCAGGGGTGAAATGGATAGAGAGCTACAGAATTGAGAAAGTATTTTGTCATCTCTCCATTCCTAGAACTCAGCGTTTTGCCTAAATGCCTGGGAGTAGCTTCATGGGAGACCATTTATAACCACTTCTGCGTGTGCCCTTTCATCTCAGCCAGATAATACATAATCCCTACTTGAGCAATTAGACAAGTCTGCCTAAAATGCTTTGCAGGTCTGGAAGATGAATTTCTTTTTAATGGGAGATTCCTTGACACTCGCTGGTGACTCATAATTCAGTGAATGTCAGATCTGAAATCACTTTTAAGGATACTCAGATTCAACACTCTCATGCTGCCAGTGAATATCTGAGGTCCAGAAAGTCATCCAGCAGGGTGCTTTGGCAGTGGCAGGATGGCAGCAAGCCTGGCCATGCCTCTGCTTAATTCCATGCCACCTCCCTTCCCTTCGTGGAAGTCCTTTGTCACCAAGAAAGGCTGCAAAGAGATACAGTTCTGCACTGTTTTACCTTCATCCTTATTCCCTTTGTCACATACTAATATGTGCTTGGCACTGGGTAGTAGACAGGTTTCATTAAAATTGTCTTCTGATCACAGTAAAAAAGGATGTCCTCTGACAAATAAAAAGTGCCTCTGTGGTACAAGAAGACCACAGAAGGCCAAGTTCAGCTATCAATAAAGAATTAGAAAGGAAAGGAACGGGGAGGGAAAATAAATGGAAGCGTTTTCCACTTGCTGGAGGGTGTGCGTTATATGGCACACACGCTGTCCATTTTGCTGTTCTCAGGCGGACACCTTATTCTGGGCACCCTCATTCAGCATGTTTACTATACAGAAAATCGTTTAAACACATTAAATTAATTACATCCATGACTCAATTCCAATTGATTCAGTGTCTGCTCTCTGCTAGGAGCTGGCCTGTGCTTCTGGGTTGATATGTGTTCTGGTCTGTGTCTAGCTGCCCCCCCCCAAGCCTCATGCACTCATGGGGCGGCTTTTGGATTCGTAATTGATTATGGTGGGTGTGGGTAATGCACCCACCCCGGGGCACGTGCTTTGCTTTACAATGCAAGGAGGGGAGAGAGGCTAGCTAGTCTCCTGAGTTGCTGCCACTGCTTTTGCTCTGCTCTTTGCTGAAGCCATGAAAGGTTGCTCTCTGCCATGTGCCACTCGGCCTTGGAGCCAGCTCAGTACGGACTGAAACCTCCAGTAACTGTGAGCTAAATAAACCTTTCCTTCCCTAATTTTGAATGTCGGGTATTTGTCCTAGCAACGAGAGAGAAGTAACCGAAACAGTATGTTGATGAAGAAATTTCTTCCATACATCCTAGCATGGTGCTCCAGCTTCACTTGGAGCACACCTCTGTTTTTCATTTCATGAGGTCTCTCTCTTTCTGAGTTCCCTGGCACATACAGAAACAGGCTTCCGTGTCCCTACCGGCACACCAATTGCCTAGGTGGCTGTTGCCAGTGATTCCCTGAGAGGGGCACCTCTGATTCCATGCTTATGTTTTGCACCATGATTCTGCCCCCATGCTCTGGAAATCTCGGGGTGCTTTCCTGTCTAGAGGCCCTCTTCTGCCAAATAAGCATTCAGGAAATTCAGGCTGGAATCAACTACTCAGATCTCAAAAGTTCATAGCATTTTGAGAATCCATTTTCTGAGAGTCTTGGAACCCAGATGAGAAAAGTTAGTTTAGGGCAATGATCTCTAAATATCTAGGCATTTGTGGACATTCCAGAAAGCTTGGTTAAAATCCAGGTGTGCTGGCCCTGCTCCAGAACACCTGATGCACTGGCCTTTCTGTACAGCCCAAGAGTGCACATATGAACAGCAGTCTGGATGATTCTCGGACAGCATCCTTAAGAATTGCTTAAGGACACACACACACAACATACGCTTTTTGTTTTAAGCTTATCAGTGATATATTTGTGCCTATATTCATTCACTCCATTAGCAGACCCTGGACTCACTGTGTGGCATACAGAGAGGAATAATGATTGTGCCTGCTCTCAGGAACGCCCCCCAATCTGATAGAGGTAATAGACAAGTAGATGAGTAATTGCCAGGAAGGGTCCAAGATCTGCCCAAGGTCTCTGGAAGGAAGATTAGGTTCTATTTATGAAGCAAAGTCCAAGTAACAATCTTCCATCTTCCTGAAACTCAGTAAGCAAATAGAATGCCTCAGTAATTGCAAGATGCCCATCCAGTAGGTACTTGCCCTGTGCCATGTGCGCATGGGCAGGCTGCAGTGCCACGTCTCCTTTGTCCTGCTCTCAATATGTCAGTGCACCGCAAGACCTAACAGACTCTTCTATCTTGGATTTTGTTACAAAGGGGCCCCTGAATTCATCGTCAGGCGGTTATAAGTTTTCAATACATGCATCGAAACATTGCTAAGCACTCAGGTGAAAGAAAAGCAAAGCCTTCATTTTTCTTCAGCTGATAACTG